GGCGAGTAGAGGGTCGTCCTGAGGGGCTTTTCGGCGTCTTGGGTGCCTCGAGGGGGCCTCTGTGGGCCGTTCGGGATCCTCTTTGGGGCATCCTGGGGGCCTCTTGGGGCCTCGTGGGGCCATCTTGGGGCCTCTTGGGGGTCTCCTGGGGGCCTCCTGGGGGCCTCTTGGGGGGCCTCTTGGGGGGCCTCTTGGGGCCATCTTGGGGCCATCCTGCGGCCTCTTGGGGCATCCTGGGGGCCTCTTGCGGCCATCGTGGAGGAAATCGATCAAAGAAGAGGGGAGCCTTAATTAGCGTTGCCCCCTGAGAAGGCCAAAATGGGGCCAAAACCATAGTAAAATCAATGTTTTTGGCTTCCTCGCCGAGGCCGTTTTGGACGCTCTGACCGCTCCCCGCCCCTCCTGTCCAGGTCAGTGGGGAGGGGGTAGGGGGAGGGGTAAACCCCTCCCCGAAGGGGAAGAGGGAGGGGTGGAAGAGGAAACTCGTTAAACCACCGACGCCCAGAGGGCTGGTGGGATTCGGTGGCACCCCTCACGCAGATCGGCGGGGTCAGGGTCCAAAAACACAAGGGATTTGCCACATTTCTGAAATTCGGTGGCACCCCTCACGCAGATCGGCGGGTTCAGGGTCCAAAAACACATGGGATTTGCCACATTTCTGAAATTCGGTGGCACCCCTCACGCGGATCGGCGGGGTCAGGGTCCAAAAACACAAGGGATGTGTTACATTTCTGAAATTCGGTGGCACCCCTCGTGCAAATCGGCGGGGTCAGGGTCCAAAAACAAACCGGTCCCGACACTGCTTCACGGCGCCGCCCCGACCTCATGACTTAGCTTTTGTATTTCCCATTCTCCGAGACATGGGGCTGGCGGCATGGGACGAAGCCCTTACGGATAATACTATTCAAAATAATAACGAGGGTAATGCTAATATGAGACGCAACATTTTTAATAGTATGAATGCTGCTAGACTATTCACACTAATACTTATGCTACTGATAAGACGTAGCATAATGATAACTTATCACGAATACTATTACGAATACTAACGATGATAATGAAACTAGTACTAGTATTAAAACAATACGGATAATAATACTAATATTAGTACTATTAATAACAGTACTACTAGTAGTATTAATAATCTTAACATTTGAAGAATAATACGAACCATACGATACATAACAGTACATAGAAGAAGACGAGGAGGAGGAGTACGCAGGATGATGATGAGGAGGAGGGAGGAGGAGGAGGAGGAGGAGGAGGAGGAGGAGGAGGAGGGACTGACTACCAACATCACCACCACCAGCACGACCACCATGACCACCAGCACCACCAGCAGACCGACCACACCTACCAGCACCCCCGACCACCACCATCACGACCACCACGACGACCACCACCAGCACGACCACCACGACCACCACGACCACCACCAGCATGACCACCACCACCACGCCGGCGAACGCCGCCGCCCCCCGTCCCCCTCTCCCTTCCCCCTCCCTCCCCTGCCACTGCCGGGCCGCCCTTGCCGGTGCGCCCCCTCCCTCCTCCTCCTGCCGCTGCTCCTCCTGCTGCTGCTCCTTCTCCCGCAGGCTGAGCCGGCCCAGCCAGGGCCCGAAGACGGCTCGAGGCTCGACGGTTCCTTCGGCGGCGGTTTCGGACTCGCCTCACACGCCTGGCCCCAGTGGCCACTCGTCCCAAAGGTGGACATGTGCCGGGGCCGCGGAGACGAGGAGGAGGAGGAGGAGGACGAAGAGGGAGGAGGAGGGAGGAGGAGAGGAGGAGGTGGAGGAGGAGGAGGAGGAGGAGGAGGGAGGAGGAGAGGCGTGAGGAGCAGGATGAGGAGGAGGAGGAAGGAGGAGGAGGAGAAGGAGGAGGAGGAGGAGGAGGAGGGGGGGAAGGGGGTAAGGGGGGGGGAGGGGGGAGGAGGAGGAGGAGCCCTTGAGGCACGCTGCCGCGCGCGCGCGGCACGCACTTTTGCATCCTGTCCTGCCGTGTCGTCGTCGAGCGGCGGCTTCTCCGGGGGGGCCCGCAGCCCGCCAGCCAGGGGCAACGGCAGGGGGGATGGGCATAAGGGGCGCGAATATTCGAGGTTCGAGGTCTTCTGGCGTTCTCGTCGAGTCTCGGCGGCTTCCCAGCCTCGGGATGCCTGTCGGATGACCGCCAGAGGCCCGAGCTAGGAGCTGACAACCACCAGGGAGTAGGCTCAGAGGGGGATGCAGCGGCCCCCAATGTCCCCTTGACCGACGATAGGTGCCGGATAGCCCTAAGTCGGGCATGTCCTTCTACTGGAGAAGTATCCCAAACTCGCAGAAAGTGGTCAGGGGACGACTTGACGACTATGTTTGACCATCCTTGAGTATTTTTTTGCATTTTTTCCTCTCAGGATCCGCCTGCAGGAGGACATGCCCGACCCAAGGAGAGCCCCAACCCGCTCAGGACCGTGCAGCTTCACTTTCGGGGGCCCATGGCCGGTCTACCGGCGGTGCATCGCCTGCGGGTGCCCCCGCAGGGGGCCCCCGCCAGGCCCAGGAGAAGGCGCGGGCGCCTAGCTGCGCAACTTCTTCGCAACGGGCGTTGTGGCCTGGTTTCGGGCCCCGTGGCCGTCGCAGATCGATCCAGCTCGGACAACGAGGCAGAAAGATGGGGCCCGGGGCTCCGGTCGTGTATTTTTTGTTTTTTTGTTTTTGTTTTTTTTTGTTTTTTTTGCGATGTTGCATTTTCTTGGCAAAGCGCTATAGCCCTATAGGCCTATAGCCCTATATCCCTATAGCCCTATAGCCCCTATAGCCCACTAGCCCTGTAGCTCTATAGCCCTAGAGCCCCATAGCTTTATAGCCCTATAGCCCTATAGCCCTGTAGCCCTACAGCCCCCCCATAGCCCCATGGCCGTAAAAAGATTATGATAGGGTTCTTCTCCGGTATCTTCTCACGATGTTTCATTTTCTTGGCAACGCCGGATTTCATGGGGTACAGGGCAAGGTGCCCGTACCGCTAACCTTCCATCGTCTTTACTTATCCTTTTTGGCTTCCTGGGAGGCTCTCGTCGCCACCGCTGGATTCGCCTCGAAATTCTGGTCAGGACGCGCCCAGGGAGAGGTCCAGGGAGCAGGGTTACCAGTACCTCTTGGATTCTCCAATTTTTTGCTGCCCTCATCCGGTGGGTTCGCGCCGTGTAGACCAGCGGCGACCCCCGCCGCCGGCGTTCAACGTTGAACGCCGCTGGCGACCCAGAATCGGTCGACGTTGGACGAGCTGATGTTTCGGGAACGGCCGATCGTTCGAGGTTGAACGATCCCCGCGGTGTCTGGTACCAAAGCCAGGGTCGACGCGCCACAAAGCCGCAGAAGCTGCCCTGATGCGCCCGTTCTGAAACGCAGCACGTGCCGTGTTCAAAGCTTGCGGACGACGATCAACGGAGAGGAAGCATGTTGCCAAATCATTTCCAGATGTCAGAAAATGCAACAAATGTTCAAAACGTGCTTTGAACACGTAAAAAGCAGGTTTCAAACATTTTTAGAACATGTTTCAAATATTTTAGATACATCTTTAATTCAATGATAGGATTGTTAGGGTGTCCATTGCCATGGCATCCACAATTCAAAGCGTCCGTGTCAACACGCTGCGTGCTGGCCCACGCGCTTCGGCGAGCGCATCCCGCCGCGGGCGGCTTCCCTGAGGGGGCCCCGCAGGGGCCCCCCGCCAGGCCCAGGAGACGGCGCAGGCAGGCTTGAGTCGGGCACGTCCCTGAGGGGACGACTTTTTGAGAACTGTTGAACTATGTTATAGTATTTTTTTTGACTATTTTTATTTTTCTTCCAAACTCCCCCTGTAGGAGGACATGCCCAACCTTAAGGCAGGCTTCCGGCAGAGGCATAAACTTCCGGCGGTCCGCGCGGATTTCTTGGATCGGCACCGGCCCACCTTGGCGGCGCGGGAGGGGGGTGCGGCGCAGATCCAAGAAATTCGCGCGGACCTTCAAGAGTTCATGTTTCTGCTGTTGTTTCATCCTCGGCGCAAGCAAGCAGTCCTTTCGACTCAGTGCTCGGTCCAGGAGTCGGGCGCGACATCGATTAAAGAGTCTGAGGCACGCCACTGCTGGTGCCACGGCGAGAAGCGCACGAAGGCGTCCCCGCATGCAGGGTCATGGTCCAGCCTTGCTTTCCCTGCCAGTCGACTTGGGACCTTTGGAGTGGCCAACCGACGACGAGGCCAGTAGCAATTCATGGGAGTCTTGTGTGTCCTTGTCATCCTGTTTTTTGAATGCGTCAGCGTGCGCCTGCGTTTCGTTACCGATGAGAAAGCGACGATCTGGCGTCGACGAGCGTCGATGAGCGTCGATTTAGCGCAGATTTAGTGCCGACTAGCGCCGACTCGCAAAAGCTAACAACATGGCATGGTACTGGCGGCGAGCGAGGCGGGGAAGTGGGAAGGAGAAGGCCTTCTCAGAAGGCGGCGAGACTTCTCAGAAGCCTTCCGACCTTCTGAGCGGTTTTCGGTGCCGTCGAGGAAGGCTTTTGTGAAACTTCTCAGAGGGCTGGGGGACTGCCGACTCTTCTGAGAAGGCCCACCCCTTCTCACTTCCTCCCTTCGCTCGCCGCCGAAAGGTGGCCCAGGAGAGCCCCCAGGGGCAAGGCAAGGCAAGGCGCGCGGGAGTCCGCCGGGGAGCGGGGCCTTGAAGGCCGGCGCGGGCGGGCCGGGGCCGATGTGGAACTTGTGGTCAGTGCTGTCTTGTGCTTGTGGTTGGCCACCGATGGTAGTCCATCATGGTAGGCCACGATGGGTCAGTATCGTTTATCCGATCCCCATTCCCATCCCCATCCAGACCCCCACCAAATGACCACCCCAGTTGGGGATACACCCCTCGAAACCCGGAGGGGGACGGCCTATATCCCCATCTAGGGGGATAAATCGGCTAGTGGGCCCAGTCCACGCCGCTGGTGATGGGGGTCGGATAAACGATGCTCAATGTGTTGCCGCAGACCGCGGGTACGCAGGATTGTCAGCGGCTTCTCCATCGTCCCGGAGCTGGTGGCCCTGGCCGTGTCGCCGACGGTGCCGAGCACCCTCTGCCAAGAGACGGCGGGCGCCGCGCGGCTGCCGGCCCGCGGACTGCCGCGCGCCCTCCTCTGCAGCTCCTTCCTCCTCGCTCCCACTCCTCCTCCCCCCTTCACCTCCCCCCCTCCTCCATCTCCCCCCTTCCCCCCTTCCTTCCCCTCTACCTCTTCCTCCGCCTCCTCCCTGCCCCATCCGCCTCCTCCTCCCCCTCCCCCTCCTCCCCCTCCTCCTCCCCCTCCTCCTCCTCCTTTTCCTCCTCCTCCTCCTTCTCCTTTTCCTCCCCCTCCTCCCCCGTCTCCTCCTTCCTTCTTCTTCTTTCTTTCCAGCCGCTGTGGCCCGAGCTCTTCTTGATTCTTCCACGCCCGAGCCCTGCGGTCGGACCCTGCCCAGCCCCTTGGCTCGCAGTGGGAAGGCGTCCGAAGGTCAACACGACGTTAGCGCTACTCGGCGACTTCGCATCCAGTGCTCTGCAGATGCTTAGAAGGAAGGAGCGGCAAGAAAGCCGCGCGGAGCGCCAACAGTTTATGCTTGTACCGTTTTTCTTATTCGAATGATGGCGACCGCGCAGCAGCGGCACTCCTCTACTATGAGGTATGGGCTGCGGCATGTGCGGCAGCGAGGCGCGCCTGCCGCTTTCGACCCGCAGCCCATCCAGCACAGCTGGACACCTTCGGCCTCGCGCACAAGGCTTGCAGGCACCTCGCCAAGGAGTACGTGAGGAACGTCACCGACCAGCTCGTGCGGGCATAGGGCCGCCGCGTACCCCGCCAGCGTGGCAGGGGCCCACGGGAGGCCGGCTCAACACGCGGAAACTGCCGGAGTAGATCTCGGGCGTTCTCAAGCGTGGCTCGATGACCTCAGCCTGGCAGACAAGATAACCTGCGCCATCAGCGGCCCTGACGAGAACGGGTGCGACCTGCGGCATCTCCAAGCTCGGCAGGAACAGCTCTGCGCAAAGCAAGGGCAGCTTCGACGACGGCAAGTGCACCAGCAAGGATGGCAAGGGCGACGCCACCGACGGCAAGAGCAGCTCCCCTGACGGCGAGGGCAACTTCACGGGCTGACGGCAGGGGCAGCTTCACGGTCGGAAGGGGCAGCTCCACGGACGGCAAGAGCAGCGCCGCTGATGGCAAGGAATGCTTCAAGAACGGCAAGGACAACCCCACGGACGGCAAGGGCAGCTTCGCTAACGGCAAGGACAGCTTCACGGACGGCGGGGACAGCTCCACGGACGACAAGGGCAGCGCCATTGACAGCAAGGGCAGCTCCAAGGACGGCAAGGACGACACCACGGACGGCAAGGGCAGCCCCCCTGACGGCGAGGGCGTTTCCACGGGCGGCAAGGGCAGCTCCACTGACGGCAAGGACAGCTTCCCGGACGGCAGGGGCAGCTCCACGGATGGCAGGGGCAGCGCCGCTGACGGCGAGGGCAGCTCCACGGACGGCAAGGCAAGGAGAGCTCCATTGACGGCGAGGATATCTCCAAGGGTGGCGAGGGCAACAGCTTCACGGACGGCAGGGGGAGCTCCAAAGGGCAACTGTATTCTGGCCGACGCGGGCCGCTCCACTGACGGCATGGGCAGCGCCGAGATCAGTGGGGGCAGCTCCACGGATGACCAGGGCAGCTCCAGTGACGGCAAGGGCAGCACCAAGGACGGCAAGTGCAACGGTGTGCGACGGGGAGGAGTTCTCTATGAGGAAAGGATAGGAAAAGGAACGGAAGAGGAGGAGGAGGAGGAGGAGGAGGAGGAGGAGGAGGAGGAGGAGGAGGCGGAGGAGGCGGAGGAGGAGGATGAAGAAGAAGAGTATAATGGAGAGGAAGGGGGAGGATGAGGCAGGGTGCGCTGGGCGGTGCGGGGTGCCCGATGTACGCGGCCGACAACTCATTCTTGCTGGTTTCGGCGCGCTTTTCCGGTAAGCCCTGCCAAAGGCACCGGCGGGCGCAACTCTTCCCCCCTGGAGGGCATCTCCAAAGGGCTTAGGCGACCCGTCCTCCTCCTCCTCTCCTCCTCCCTCCTCGTCTCCTCCCACTCCCCTCCTCCACATCTCCTCCGCCCCTCCTTCTCGACCTCCTCCTCCTCCTCCTCCTCCTCCTCCTGTCCTTCCGTATCCTCCTCCCTCCTCCTCCTCCTCCTCCTCCTCCTCCTCCTCCTCCTCCCCCTCCTCCCTCCTCCCTCCTCCTCCTCCCCATCCCCCTCCCCCTCCCCGTCCTCCTCCTCCTCCTCCTCCTCCTCCTCGCCGTCGTCGTCGTCCTCCTCCTTCTCGGGTCGCGTATGGCCCCGGGGGAAACCGTGCACTCCCCCCCTCGTGCGGCTGGTGCTTTGTGACCGGGCTTCTTGGCCAACCTCTGGACAGCGGCTGCTCCAGGGGGGCAACTGCCGCGCATTCGGATTGCTGCGGGACCGCGGTCCGGAGGAGGAGGAGGAGGAAGAAAAAAAAAGGGAGGAGGAAGAGGATTGGAAAGAGGAGGAGGAGGAGGAGGACCAGTGTAAACTCGAGGACCATCAACGATGTTGGAACTCATCCTCCCCGAAGCCCCCTCTTGGAAGGCCCTTATCTCATTCCCGCTAAGAGAAGTGCTCCGTTGGGAGACAACCGTGCAAACATCTTGAAACGTGCCAACAAACAAACATTCCCATGACTTCAGCGCCACGAGTCAATGTGACTGTTGCGACTTGGCGATACCGAATTGTGCCAGATGATTTGTCTTGCAACTTCAACGCTGCGAATCAGCGTAATTAGTTGTTGTTCCCCGAAAATCTTGAACCCTTTCCAAACACCGTTGTTGGTATGTAAACCATGAGACTTTGTGAAGCTTTCGCAATTTGTTTGACGAATGTGCGCGGCGCTAATGCGAGAGCGACATTTTGAACAACAGCCGCTCTCAATCGTTAAAGGTCTTGCATATGTTCAAAACGAATGTGCGTGGCGCTAAAAGCAATAAACACTGTTTGAAAACTTCCGCCCTCAATCCGAGAAGCTTATGCAATTATTCAAGACGAACGTGCGCGGTGGTTTGGCGATAGCCACATTGTGACCGTCCGCCCTCAATCCGTGAATATCCTACAGTTTTCTGAGACGGATGCGCGCGGCGCTAAGGCGAGAGCTGACAACCACCGGCCTTCCATCTGTGAAGCTGTTGTCAGTTTCTAACGCTCAGGTTCGTAACAGGTAAATAAGTTTCGAGCGAAACGCCACGCCCGTCGTTCCGATTGATCTCGGGATGCGACGGGTTTGGAGTTATTGAATCGCTTCGCTCATTCCGCCGGCCCATATTGTCGCACAGTTGTGGGCTAGCCGAGTTTTGGGGCCTCTTGGGGGCCGTTTTGGGGCCTCTTGGGGCCTCTTTTGGGCCTCTTGGGCGCCTCTTGGGGCGTCTTGGGGGCCTCTTGGGGGCCTCTTGGGGCCTTTTTGGGGCCTCCTGGGCGCCTTCTGGGGCGGAGGGCTCGATTTTTCAGTTCTCGGTTCCCCTCTTGAGCCCCTCTTGGGCCCGTCTTGGGGCCTCTTGGTCCGTCTTGGGCGGCACTTGGGCCGTCTTGGGGGCCCTCCTGGGCCGTTCCGGGGCCGTCTTGGGAGCCTCGTGGGCCGTCTTGGAGCGGTCTTGGGGGCCTCTTGGGCCGTCTTGGAGCGTCCGGAAGCCGAAAAAGCCAGAACGCAAAAAACATCGAAAAAAACAATGAAAATCAACGATTTTGGCCTCTTGGGGCCCTCTTCGGAGGCCTCTTGGAAGGCCCTTGGGGCGTCTTGGAGGCCTCTTGGGCTGTCTTGGGGCCCTGTTGGGCGTCTTCGGGCGATCTTTGGCCGTCTCGGGGCCCTCTTGGACCGTCTTGGAGGCTTCTTGGGGGCCTCTTGGCCCGTCCTGGGGCCCTGTAACAGGGCTCCGGCATCTCTGGCCCGACCTTGCGGGGACCTTGCCGGGGACCTTGCCGGGGACCTTGCCGGGGACCTTGCCGGGGACCGGCCGGGACCTGGTCGGGGTACTTTTCGTCTGGGGACCCCCAGGGGCCGCCCCGCGCGCGCGAACTAGAAATACTGTTAACCAGGTACCGGAGATCTTAGCACGCCCTGGCCCGTTGGGCCGGCGAATTGAGAAAGAAAAGGGATGGAGGAGGAAGAGGGAGGAGGAGGAGGAGGAGGAGGAGGAGGAGGAGGAGGAGGAGGAGGAGGAGGAGGAGGAGGAGGAGGAAGAGGAGGACGAGGAGGCGGAGGCGGAGGAGGAGGAGGAGGAGGAGGAGGAAAAGGAGGAAGAGGCCCATTATAGTTGTCGTCGTCGGGTTTCTTTCCTGCTTCGTTCTCCGTCGTCCATCCTCCCCTCTCCCTCCTCCCCTCTTCCTCTTCGTTGCTCCTTCCGTTCTCCTTCCTCGCTCCTTGTTGCTGCCTTCTTTCTGCTCCCCGCCCCGCCCGTTCCTTCCTCTCCCCCCCACCTTGTGGGGGTGCGCGCGGAGAGATTTGGAGGATGGGTGGGGATTGGTTGGTGGAGGAGGGGGAGGAGAAGGAGGAGGAGGAGGAGAAGAATCGGGAGGAGGAGGTGGAGGAGGAGGGGGACCACATTGTCACTATAGCAGGCATCGGCGATGTTGCAATTAACCCTCCCCCAAGTTTCACCTTCATGAGTCCCCGTTTTTTCATTGCGGGGGTTGCCTCTTCGTAAAAGCCGTCTGAGAGTCTTCAGTCATGCAACAAAGAAGTTCTGGAATTCCAGCGCCGCGGATCAACGTGACTGTTGCGTCCTGGCAATCCTACATTGTTCCGTCCCGACACTTCTAAACTGTGCTGGAACACTATTCTTGGGTCTTCAACCACGAATCTTTGACCAGGTTGTAAAGTAGAAAAAAGGGAGTTTGCGGCGGTGAGGCGAGAACCGTGCTTCGAAAAGGAACCTACATATGTGAAGCTGCGACGCACTGGTATCACGAATGTGCGCGGCGTTCAGTCGAAAACTGCATTTTGAAAACCACCCGCCCTCAGCATTCGAAGCTGCTGCAATTTGTAGTACGAAGGTGGGCGGTGCTAGGGCGATAACCACATTTTGAAGACTACCCGTCCTCCATTCTTGATTTTGTTGCATTGTTTGAGCGAATCTGGCCGGCGCTAAGGCGACAGACATTTTCAGAACCACCGAGCTTCCATCCGTGAAATTGTTGCAGATCTCAAGCTTCACGACCATAAGTGGTGAGAAAGTCTCAGGCGAAACGCCCAGCCTGCCCTACCCACACGTCTGGGGGTGGGTCAGGGATAATTTTGTCTTAAGAAAACGGGAAGGATGAGGGAGGAGGAGGAGGAGGATGAGGATGAGGACAAGGAGGAGGAGGAGGAGAATGATGATGATGCTGCTGATGATGATGATGATGGTTGTGGTGGTGATGATGATGTTGTTGATGCTGTTGATGATGATGATGAGGGAGAATCTGATGATGATGCTGGTGATGAGGATGATGAGGATGATGATGATGATGAGGATGATGCTGCTGATGATGATGATGCTGATGATGAAAATGCTGCTGCGGATGATGCTGATGCTGATGATGATGCTGATGCTGATGATGCTGATGATGCTGCTGATGCTGCTGATTCTGAAGCTGATGCTGAAGGAGAAGGAGAAGGAGAAGGAGAAGGAGAAGGATGATGATGATGATGATGATGATGATGATGATGATGATGATGATGATGATGATGATGATGATGATGATGATGATGATGATGATGATGAGGAAAAGGAATGGATGAGGAGGATGAGGAGGATGAGGAGG